AAATGGATTTCTATATTTATTGATGAGAGATGTATCTTAATAAGTACCTATGCAAGTATGCATTGAATGAAAAAATAATTTTACGTAATTAACACAATATTTTTATTCTAATTTTATTTCTATAACAATAAAATTGCTTCGCATATACTGCACGTGTATCATTTTTTCATGTATTCATATTTCTCATGTATTTATCGATGTTATCATCAAGGAACCTTGTTCTGGGTCTTCCTCTTCTTCTCTGACCAATGAGTCTATCAAGGAGCGTTTTTCTAGCTGGGTCATTTTCTTCCATCCGTCATATCCAGACGTCATATCTTAATATATTTTATGATATCTGGTTCCTGGTATATTCTATAAAGTTCGAAGTTGTTTCGTCTTCTCCACACTCCAGTATCTTTCTTCGCTCCATAGTAATTAGTGCTTTCCTTTCGAAACATCCTAACGCATTTTCATTACATTTTGTTAGAGCCCGGGTCTCTGAAACATATATTAGCACTAGGTGGATTATTGTTTTTGTATAGTTTACTATATATTATGAAGGACATATCTTTCCAACTATATAAACTCCGTTTAGCCACATTTAATCGAAAATAGAAAAAATTTTATTTTTATTAGACAAAACTCTTATTTTTCTTAAATAATTTCACCTCAAAATACAATTCCATCTTTTTTTATATTAAATGAGATTTTAGATTGTCTTTCACATCTAAAGTTTAATTCCCGTATAATTTTCCAAAGCGAAACTCGATTTCAAGAATATCTTCTTTTACTATACCCAAAATTTTACTAAAAATTTCCTTACTAAAATAGACGAAATACACTTTTCTTTTTGTTTTTCGTAATCGTTGTTGGGTTTTAAGTCCTCCTGAAATAGTTTTGGTTGTTTCACTGTTCTACCGTTGTCATCATCGCCTGTAAATGGTCGATTTTCCAATTTGTCATCCTTCATATATCCAGAGTGGAAATCAGATAACTGCAGAGTAGAAACAGGTAGAAATTACAAATAATCATTTGAAATTTATTTGTAACTTTCTCCAATTCCCAAATAAAGTTCAATCATATCGATACGAACTATACTCAAACTTAAACCTTGTTCTTCAATCGTCTTTCATGTACGTTTTAAGTATTTTTGTTCATTGGATCCTACTAAATAACATCCCGAAAGTCACTTAATACCGAGATCAATATCAAAAACCCGCAATTGCCGACAAAGAAATAATCAATACCCATTTGTATAAGCATCTAAAATATTAAGACCAGTTTGGAGGCCCCGACACTGATTATTAGGTGCCAGCAGTATACCTGCAATCAGTTTAATAATTGCTAATGTATATGCGGAAAAATGGATGTAAGTTCGACCCTGCAAAGATAAGGCTGCGGTAAAAATAAAAGGAACGAAATTCATTCACGCACAGGCTCTCTGCTATAAGAATATCCTTCAATATTTACTATTGGTAGGCAGAATTTTTACTGACCAGACATGTTGCCAGTTGTGTCAGTAGTTTTCATGTATTGGTTAATTAAAGAATATTTTAATTAAAATAAGTGCTATATAGTAGTTTTTCCTCTATATGATCCTGCTGTGCTCATTCCTGGAACTACAGATTCATAATTCACAATTCACAATAATATTATATCAACGTACAGGACCTTGAACGGTGATCATTTACACAAAAATGCATAAAACTTCAAGACGAAAATGATCATTATTATAAACGTATAAGGGGCAAACAAGTTTCTCTTGACAGCAATCACTCCAAAGTTACCATTGTTCAAAACTATTACAAAGCTTTTTCAAAGACATTAGCTGCAATATTTATGTCGTTTTCCCGTCTGTCAAACGTCATTTTTCAGTTAAATCTAAAGAGTTTCAGTGTTCAAGTCGTCAAGCTAATATCAAGTCACGCCTGCTGTTCAGCATGCTGTTATTTATTCTAGTATTGTATCCAGATATTATGAATTAAGTTTCTGTTATTATGGATACATAGATAGAATGATATGCTCATATTTTTCTTCAATTTTATTACAAAGTTATAAGTAATTTTTCTGTCAATCAATTTCTTTTTATTATTGCAGAGTGAACGGCAAGTGCTAATTAACACCACGTAATTATGCTCAATATGGTAGCTTACTGATCTTCCTCTTTGATTTCGAAGTATGTTTAATGTTATTCGATAACAATCATATTTATGACAGTACTACCATTTAAACAGGCTGTTAAAAATGGTTCGCATGTCCTTCGACAATTAAAAGAAACTGCTCCAATAAAATTCCACTTTTCCTCGCACAACGTGAAGCACTTACAAAAATTATTTATAACGTCCTTATGGCTTCACAGCTAACAACTGTTTTCACGTCTGGTTGCAATAAATGACTGACATAATTTCTAAATCTCCTTAATTCCAGATTATATGAAAGCAGGCGATAAACGTGTCGTTCCCACTGAACTGTTAAAAATGTGTCAGTTGGTATAAAATTCTTAAAAGATATGAAATGTGCAATAATTCTTCATTATGTTTAAAAGGGTATATTAATAAAGCTGAAATTGTAATGCTTGTTGATAGGTATCTATTTACTATGTATAATTCTTCAATTATGTCTTCGGTGATTTTTTGACACTTCGTTTGTAGTCTTTGGGCTCAATAATATAACATATTGGCATAATTTAATTTTTCGTTACTCCATTTATTATCTTGCCTTGTCTCGCTGTATTCTATTTCTGCCGTACCAAATTCTTCATAACATATTAGGTACTTCAGTGTAACAACGAGGTTCGAAACTAACAACGCTGCTATTTAAGTAATATTTGAGTTGATGATTGCATAGTGGTCGTTGTAGTATAGGTACAAAGTTAGCCAAGCGACTAGATTTAAAACTTATCGTGCGACATGCAGCAACAAAAGGCAGTTAGTCGTCAATTTCTTAAGTGAATTATGTAAGAACAAAATGGTCGAAAGTGTAAAATGTAAGCATGCACATTTTTTCTTCAAGATGATGTTTAATGATATACGAAAATGTAGATAAGTCCATTCGCATATAATTAAAAAAATCTATCAGGATGCTTTTTTCGTTGTATGAACAGAATGTAGAAGGCTTGACATTTTGTTCTTTTATACATTGTCAACATGTATCCACCTGGTTAAATTCGCAATGAGGTACTGGTCATTTTATCTCAGCAAACCGTCAACAATCTGGCAACTGATAATTAAAATGCATCGCTCTAATATTGTTTCAAATATCGTTGCGGTATCGTATATTTATCTTTAGTTGATTCTGCCATTATAATGAGCGTTAAAATTGTTCATAATTGAGTAGACCGAAAAGCTTTGTAGTCGGCAAAGTGTCGTTGTAATGGGACCTTTAATTGCCTCAATTGGAGAACCTAAGCTGTTCATGGGTTGATAAGGTCGAGTTTTGTATTAAAATTAAAATAACAAATACAAAATATGTTGATAATGACAAAAATAATTTTCTAGAAAAGAATTCTTAAAGAACGATCACTAAAATCTGAATACGGAAGCGAAAAACCAAGAAAATATCCGCTAACCTTTTTTTATAAATAAAAAATCTAATTACTGTTCCACCTTTCTATTTTCACAAACTATATCCCAAAATACTCTTGTAATACAAAATATAAACGAAATATTCATAACATCCTCGTATTAGTCAGAGTAATTGGCTAGATATTTCAGTGACACGTTGGCACCAATGCTAACAATTACAGACTAATGAACCAAATGACATTTTCTGGAAACTTCACTGCTGTACGATATAGTTCTTGGATCAAATTGTTTTATACAGGTTTCGCCGATAATGGTAGTGCTAAACGTACATCAATAGTAGATTATAATAAAAACAAATAAGGGCAAATGTGATTCCCTTTCGTATTTAAATAGGCCATAAAAAGTGGCAGAAGCACTGAGCGAGAGAAGAAATGTGCAGAAGTCTGTAGAGATGGGAACATTATTTTTGTAATAGTTACTCCGAAACAGTATCATTTCGAAAGATTGGTTTCAAAGTAGTTCTAGTCAAGGAATATTTTTCATTAATTTATTTCTTAACCTCAGATTCTTATTGATTTTAAATATGTCTGTTCACTTCACTTCGCATCGAATTTTAGTGTGTAATTTGCTGAAATTACTAAAAAGTTTACACGATTTACAAAGGAAAATAAGTATTTTCTATTCTTGCTTCATTGAAATTTTATGTTCAGAATATCTTCTTGGTAAAAATATAAATACATACCTAATACAAAATATACGGCCTTTGGAATAGTTCCGACATAAACATTATATAGTGAAACTGCAATGTCCATCTCTACGCGTCTGTCGAATGCTTTTGAAAGAAGAAGTAGAAGTTCGCCGAATGGAATGCATCTTGGCGCTGCAACATTTCTCACGACCCAAACTGGGCATATTTTCAAGGTCTGCCTCATGCGCCCATTCCTTGTGTATACAAGGAGGGTCAATCTTAGGAATAAATAAATTCTTTCGGGATCAACTTCCGATAAATATTTGTGTTTAAAGTATACTGTGAAAGAAAATGTTCAAAGATAGTATTGCGAACGTATACTTCTTATCAACAGTTTTTCATCATACATTGTTGTGAAATCGAAGAAATCAAAAATAGAAGGCCGGAAGATTTGTGTCATAAAAACACAGACTAGCTGTTTAAACTTGTTTTCTTCTCATTGGCTTTCTTAATCTCAGAAGGCTGTACTACAACGAAAATTGAGTTTTTATTGCAGATTATGGTCTAAACTGCAACAAAAATCTCATTATATTACCATGTTTAATTTAGTTTGTCTACAATACATTAATAAATGGTCAAATGAAGAAATTATTTTATTTGTCTTTACTATTATGAACATTATTTAATACTTTTCACCTAGTTGACGTAGTTTACAAATTATCCTAACGAAACCTAAAATAATTTACACAATATACACACTTGAGGCCCTCTTTCACCGTACTATTAAAGAATTTTTTTTTTTTCAGAATTCACTTTTTCAAGGTACCACCCAAGTATTATTGCATGTGCAAGTATAGCGTCTGCATTGTGTGGTGTAGGATGGATCTACAAAAGTGGCCGTAGTCTAGAAGACCTCTTACAGAGACTGACTGAAATAACAAATATAGAAAAGGTATGCAATTACAAATTTCTAATATTTAATACCAGAATTATAGACAGGAAGGAAGTATTCTTGTATTTACAACAAAAGAATAACAATATAATTGTATTTTCTTATAATTATTGTAGGCTTTCCTTTATTCTGTACTTTTTTTTTGTTTCATTTTCATTGAGAATATTTTTTAACTGATTCGTCCACGTTTTCTAGCTTTTCTCTTTTGTGGTCATTCTTTCATTTTGTTTATGACTAATTATTCATATTTCACTGATGATTTTATCAATTAATGTTATCGCTTCTTTCTATGATACTTTAATTCCGTTCCTGTTTTTTTGCATTTAAAAGTGTACGATTTTCATAATCACGTACAAAAGTTATTATTTGGGTTTGTTACCATATGCTATATTTATAAACAATTTGCAATTACAAACAATATTGCAATGAAGACAATCATTGCACACATTTTTTCGTGTTTATGTTACCTAATAACCCACTTAGCGATCTACAAATTCAACAATTTCTTAATTCAATTCGAAATAACAAACATTCAAAAATTTGTTTTCCAACTATTTAAATATTTTTATTTACTTACTAGTATAAATTACTATTTTTTGTATATTTCTAAATTATAATTTACAAAATTAATCTTTTATTTATTAACTTTACACTATGGAGGATATAGTTCTTATAAATAGTAATTTTGAAATATCAGGTCCTAACTGAGTATCATTTTGTTCTAGGATTACATCCAACAGTGCTTAACACTGATCGACAAGATGATCAGAGACTCATCCTACTTAGAACAAGAAGTCCAAAGCCAAGAAGTTGTGACGTCGTACGACGCCTCGCTGAGACCTGGAGAATCAACTCCTCCCCCTATGGAGAAGAACCAGGAGCATAGCACCGCTTTAACTCCTACGGATGTGCATGACATTCACTTTTGACAAAAGAAATAAAGTGCCAGTGATATAAAATTTAACTAGAGCTTCCATATACATTTTTAAAATTTTAATTCGTACCTTAAATAGAAAACTTTATTTTTTAATAATTTTCTGTGCGGTAATGAGGTTTGGAAATTGGATCGACTCGCTTATTTTAAACACAAAATGGTTACCATAAGACGGCAACTTTCACTAATGCATTTCAACTTTTCTTACCTTCTACTTGTAATTTTTGTACAAACCCGTAACGATTCCTAATTTTGTTATCTTTCATAGTCAATTCCGAAAACTTGAATTACATTATAATTGTCCGTTAGCCATTTTGTGATCGGTGTATAATATGACGTGCGATTTTCTGTGACTGGATCTATTTTCCCAAACTCGAAGCGTGGGCGTGCAGGATAAAATAGAAGAGAGGAATGATAGAAGAATAAAATGAATGATGAAATGTCATGAAAAACTTCGGGGGAAGGCAATAAATTACGCTTTAAGTGAGAAACAATAGTGTATAAAGCATTTTTGGTTATTTTTGAATTGCAGGAACAGACCAAAACACTACTTTTTATTAGAATTCACTAAATAAACTTATCTGACATTAGTAATATTTTTAAATGAGGTCATAATAAACCACCCGTTAGAATATAACCGAACCTAACCTAAAAATCAACTTAACAACTCTGAAATCCTTCTTAAAACAAAATAATTTTATTTTTAATAGAAAAATGCATTTTTGTCTTGTGCATTACGTTAGTTACCACTTTTGTTCATAAAAATTTTAAATCAAAATGATAAAAATGGTTAATGTTTCAGTCTGGTCCTGCGCCAAAAGCCTAGAACACTGGGTGACCTTAATTGAAATCTTTGAAACTTCTTAGTCATTGTACATACATAATTTTTGTTCCTGGTTTTGATTTTATCCAAATCGGTTGAAATCATAGTTTATAAATTATTTACCTAACACTTCAATATCTGAATCTGTTGCACAAATTTTGTATATACTACCATATTACACGTTATGTTGCATTTACTCTAAAATTATTGCTTGAATATTTCATTTGGAATAAAATTTTGATGTTGAATATAAAATTTTCAATTTAAACTCTCAAATCTAACCTAACATGTATTCATATCATTGCTGTGATCATGAAATCGTCAAAAATATTAGAATATTTTCAAAACTATCTGTACTCTAAAATATAATTATTTAATTACCAGTAAAAATTATTTTGGAATCTCAACATTTAAAAGAAAGAGAAATTGTGCAACAGACAATACTTCAAAGACTGTAACTTTCTCTTTAAAGAGACTTCTCTTTAAAGAGAAGTAGGTCTAAGTCCATAAGATGTAATTAAAACATTTTCATTGTTTTAACAGAATTATAAAATAAAATAATTTATAAAAGTATTTATTTAGATATATTAAAAAGTTGGATTTGTGTTTATCGCTGTTATAAAATACAAGCAAATTCAAATTTTACTTACCTAGAAATGGTTTTTAGTTCCCACAACCTTTTTGAGTTTTAATTAATTAGTTTTATTTTACAGCTAGGATTTTGTAAATAATTTAAATTTTACTGTGATGTGTAACTAAACCCCAATTTATTTTTATGGACTTATTCCTCTATTTACGACTTAATACTAATTTAATTGTACAAAATATAGGTTTTTCTAATTAATACTACAGTAGGATAGTAAGTAAACCTCAATGCAATATAAAAAGTTAATTATACTGTAATTTTCATCCATATCTTTCTATTTGTGTGACTTTTAATATGTAATTATTATAGGCACTCGCATTTGTGATTGTTTTAATTATATTTTGTGATTTTTTTTTGCAATGTTTAATTCCAAAAAACAGAAGGTAAACTGTGCCATATAGTCAATACTACACGATCGAATTTATTATATTTATAATATAATGTTATTTGTAAATAAAATTTTTATATGTAGAGTTGCATTTTATTCCCTAGTGATATAGTAAATTCAAATTATCAATTTAATCGATGATGGATAAATATCTCAACAATTTTATTAACTGACATATATGTTTGTATAGATGTTTGTCCAAATACAGACAATCTAGATTTGGTATTTGATTATTTGGTACAGACGCCTTAAAAGTGATCAATAAAAATTTTATAAAAAAATAATAAAATAAAAATCCATCCGTATATCTAAGTATCTCGCTTGTGCTGAATATATTTGATGGAATGAATAGCTTATATTATTAATGTATATATGTGTAAATATGAAATCATTCTAAACCACAACTCACACTGCCACTGTATAGTGAAGTCATTTAAATTCTTATTTTGGGAATTTCTTTGATCTTAAGGGGAATTAAGAAGGGTTCTGGGAGATTATATATCCTTCGTAATTAATAAGTATGCATTGATGGAATAACTGTATATACCAAATTGACATATATAGGAAAAGGTTTTTTCAAATTGTTTAATCAACTGATATTTGACTTCACTAAAATACCTACATTGTTCAACTTTGCTCATGTTTACACACAATAGTTCAACATTATATACCTCAATATCAGTTCCAATCAATAGACCGATCAAGAAATTTTATTGTACAGCAATTGTAATCATATTATATATGCTTTTATTTGTAAATAATTATATATCTCTAAGAGAATTTTTATAATAAAAAAATATTTACAATACCTTGTGTTATTATTTTCTAAAAATTGTTAAATCGTTTCTTGTGTTGATACACAAGATATTAACCAAAATAAATATTACAAAGAAAAATGAGAAAAAAATTTCATGGAAATCAACCGCTGTGCTGACTAGTATTTTTTAAATATTGATGAATAAATAAAGTATATATTAAATAAAGGGTATTTTAAATAAATTTGTAATATTTTATGCGAAAAGAAGAAAATACTCGGATCCGAGTCGTGAGCATATTCCATATATTTTCTTTATTTGTGCAAGCGACTCATTTGTGAGTCGTTATAATTATTCAAAAAATAAAAACTAAATTTATAATATTTTTTTATTAAAAGAAATATAACAAATCGAGAACTAAGGAAAAAAACAAATTTTCATTTCATTCCATTTCAATTGTTTATGAACACTTAAGATGAAAACTTCCAAATAAAATTTAATGGTACTTTTTTGTGATGCTCAACAGAAAAGCTCACAGAAAAAAGGCGTTAAGCAACATTACGAGTGAATAATAAAAGTAGGTTGAGTTGAGTACCAAAAGTACAAGCTGATTATAGCCGCAAATTTCAGACATTGAACAACAAATTTTGGTATAGCAGTGTTGGCATGTTTTTATCATCATCATATAACGGTGGTCCTACGGCGATTGCCGCTTCCCGCATTTCAGCCTCCATCTTTTCCTATCTCTCCAATCTCCCTCTTCTAAGCCTCTAGATTGCATTATTTTTGTAATTTCTCTTCTCCAGGAATTTGGTGGTCTTTTCCTTTCTGGCGGAACATACATTAAGGCTTTCTTTGGCCACCGCTCCTCCTCCATTCTCATCACGTGACCATACCATTGTAATTGCCTTCCTTGTATTCTATCTGAAAGAGTATCTCTAATTCCTGTACGGTTTCGTATTTCCTCATTCCTGATTCTTTCCATTCTCGATACTCGACATGACCTTCTAAGATAATCCATTTCCACAACGTCTACTTTATCTCGTTCATTCTTTGTCATCGTCCAACATTCGGCACCATATGTGGTAATTGGTTCTACAATTGCTCTGTATACGCGAAGTTTGGTATGCATCTTTATTTTATTAGACCACAGTAATGAATTCAGTATTCGGATGCATTTTTTCCCTTGGGTTATTCGGTTTTGTACATCTATCTTAACTCTGCTATCTGCTGATATGATGCTTCCTAGATATTTATACTGGTTGCAGCCTTTTATGACTGCGTTTTCAAGCCTCAGATCTGTGGTATCATGTGGCATCATGTGATGTTTTTATCATGTATCATATTTTTGTATCATGCTGTGTGCTTCAAATATAAATAGACAAAGCTTTAGAAAAGTACATTTTGTTTATATTATGTTATAAATTCTGCAAGTTTTTATTTGTATAAAACAAAAATGAGTAAGTATTTGTTTTTTTGGAGATTAATTGCAGTTAATTGTTAGAATTTTTTTTTGACAATTACCCTTTGATATATTAGGGAATAGATTTGGCAATCGTCAAATCCGCAGTTGCCAGATTGCAACAGATGGTTGCAATTAATCTCAAGAGACAAATATTTAATCGTTATTGCTTCATATAGATTAAAAATTGCAGAGTTCATAAAATAGTATAATCAAAATGTACTTTTTAAAAGCTTTCTTTCTTTATATTTGAAGCATACAACATATGCATTATAAAAACATCCCAACACTGCCAAGCCCAAATATTTTTTGACATTTGCGGCTATATTCAACTTGCCGTTCTAATTTTGATCGACTTTGCGCATGTCGTCATGGTGAGACAAAGCCAGTGGACCTGTTTGTGTCATATTTTAACGATGCAACATATGGCAACGTTGTTCCATTACTGTAAAGAACAACTTCAAAACCTTGTTCAAAACTTAAACTGTTAACGGTAAGTATACCTCGATGCCATATCTTGCACAAATAAGTCATAACTAGTTACTTTCTGTAAAAACGTGTTTTGAAAATTAATAAGTAATTTGTAAAATTAATTAAAGAAATATATGAATCTACGATTTGATTGTGTGTATTACAAACAAAATAAATATTGCTACAAAACATACATTAAATATAAAAGGCCGGCAAAATGTAAAGAATTTGACCATAAAGAAAAAGCGGGTCAAACTTGAGACTTTATGAATATTATTTAGACATTTATTTCACAATCTTTGTGATTTTTCTTTTGTAGTATTGTGATTATCTTTAATATTTTGATTTAGAATTTGTATTTTAAAATACATTTTACATCTAAAAAACAGTACCTAATTTTACATCTTCGCTACAATTTACATATTTTGCAGCTTCTATTAAGTTTTTTAAACAATTTTTCGTTATTTTTAATGTGTCGTCATTATAACTACGGAAAATATGTTCCAGTTCACTACATACATCCAAAGTAACTTTTTTTAAAGACCTATCAAAAATAAAGTATTACTTCAAGTTCTATTAAAATGGGCATTAGTATATATTATTATCTATAGAAATATTTATTATTATCCATAGAAACATTTACTCTGCTGTTATAATATTGATATATTTATTCTCTGCTGTTATTAATATTAATTCTTTTTATTTATATAACTAGAATTGCATCAAATGAAAAATTTAAATTTAATTTTAAAGTTTAACTTGCTGTCATTAATTTTGTCAATTTGGCATTTTGATAACTTGTCTCAGGCTTACGTCACAAGAACATGCGCGTTGACTTATCTTGTTTTGTTATAGTATCATGCGGTAAACTCAACCTAAAAGTAAAAAGTAATGGTCTCGCAAAACAGAAAACCAAAAATGGTACATTGATTAAAGGCAACCGTATATACGTATTTCTGACTATTGGTCGTCTTCAGTACGGTGCAGTCAAGTTAGAAAAGGAGCATATTAACTTGGGAAAGGATCACTACAAGAGCAATGCAACCAATGTGGGGCGTTGGAGTTTCTACATTACAGTCCTACATTACTTTCCCAGGTAGCTGTAGCTTCCTCCGTGGTTGGTGTTAGTTGTTGCCCTAGAAACCATCAGGGTCTTCTCTCTTCTATCGTACCATTTACCAATCATTACTCCATTACAATGTTGTGCTTTGGTTTCTCCTTTGGACAGTTTAGCAATGGTTACTTTGAGGGGTAATGTAAGGTGCAATTCAACCTGCACGTAATGTAAGGTGCAATAAGTGCCGTGTCAATAGATGTTTGGCCAATAAATAACTATTATTAAAGTTATCCATGTAGATGGCATGTCCTGAGTTGAGAAATATTTTCGCTACTTCCAATATACTACCTTGGTGGAATGTCCTTTTCCTCCTATCGCCGGGTCCTAAGTGCCTGTATAGACTACGATGTTTTGGATAATACCAGAAAGTTCTGTATACAGTTTCATGCCGAATTTATTCTTTTTTTGCTTAATATACTTCTTAAAACTAAGTTCCATAGTACCATGGATTCATCTAGAGATAAGATCATGATATGTTAGACTGCTTTTTTCCAACTATTCGCATCAATTTTGAGTACTTTCCTTTCAATTAAATGCAAGACAGATGCATTTAAATGTGCCGAAGTATTATTTCTTCGAACTCTTGACTTAAGTTGATATCGATTCTCTCGACGATACTGTTTAATTTTGTTTAAATATTCCATTTGCCATATCCGTAAACGATTGGATTCCATAAGTACCTGTCTTTTATCTACTTTTTTTGTATTTAAACCCTATACGTTGCAAACACTTCCAAACAGTTGTTCTACCGCACTTAATTTCAGTGTTGTCGACGTGAAGCCTGTCAACTAATATATCTAGTGTAGGTACAATTTGTTCTTCATACAAGGCATACACTTTGCGACGAAGATCTTCATCTGCACGATCGAGCTTCCGAGAAATACTGTTATCCCGTCTTATTAATCTTGGTATAATAGGATTACTTACAATATTTCTGACTGTGGATAATGGTTTTTTAGTC